TCACCTGTGGAAGTAAAATACACAGCTCACCTGTGGGTAACTTACAAGGCTAGAAGCATGCACAAACTAAAAGTGGCATAACAACGAATGCTTTTACGGGTTTGCTTGCTGAGGGTACCAAGATGGCACAGTGCAAGCCAGATGTTTGTTATCTTGGGGGTACCTACCTGTCAAGCCCTTTTAAGAAAGTTAATGTACAAATTCATGTGTCGCCTAGAAGACTCGGACAATCATGTTATCTCGATTTGAATTAACCCTGTGAAGAGTTCTACCCGGTTCTCTTCCATGATTTGGAGACCTTGGCGCAGCAGCCTCTACAGACGGTGAGCATGTGTGGCTCGCTGTGATTGGACTGATTTTATGTTTTTATCTGTTTGTTTTTTATCTGTTTTGTGTTTAGCTTTTTATCTGATTTATTGATGTGTGTTTTGTCTTTGTTTGTGATATGGACCTGAGTCTGGAATAAAGATTGGAACCATACCCCGGAAGTAGGCGCCGCCATTTTTTACAACGGAGGTCTATGGGAGTGTCGTAACTCTTATCTCTCTAGGGCTCTGGACCAGACCAATCAGAGAGTTGCATGGAAATACACGTGTTTTATTGGCTGACAGGTACGTACCTCTCCTCTGTGAAAATGTTTAAACTTTAAACTCAGCCGCGGACTCAGAGTTTCTAAAGATGGACATAAGACATTTTTTTCATAAAAAATACAACAATTCTCAAGTGGTGGCTCTGGGGTTGATGTGTGAGCCACCACTTGAGGATTGTTGTATTTTTTATGAGAAAAATGTCTTGAGCCAGGTGAACAAGGTATGTAAATGTCAGTAAACTTCCAACTTATGCGTACATACAGTTACGGCATTTCCTGTTTCTGCCGGAGAGAGGGGAGTTTGACCCAAAGCTTGCTGCTGTATTTACTCCCTCCATCTGACAGGAGGGAGCCTCGTTGAGCTGCGAGTGTCACTCCGCGGAGTTCACTCCATCACGGAGGGGTAGTTTGTAGGGGTAGGGTGTAGGGCGTGGTTTGGGATTGGGCCTCAGAGTGTGAAAGAACTTGCGCTAAGTTTCATTTAACTGTCATGTAGTGTTTGTCCTGCTACAAACACTGCTACATGACAGTGTATGTCTTCAACATACTACACTGTATGTAAAGAAAGAATAGTCTGTACTCAACAGACACACCTCTTTATATTGGATTTAGGTACTTCCTCTATTTAATATTAATATTTTAATGAAAGATTTAAATCCCTTTCAGAAATGAAAACTAATCTGTACACAGCACACTGAAATAATAAACATTCACTTAATTAAATGGATTATGTCAACAGGTTAGACATAACTGTACTAGGTTAGTTGAAGTAATATTAAGGTGAACCTATTGTTTTTTATTTAGACGTAGGCTAATATTATTGCTTTAACTAACCTAATGCAATAATGTGTTATCTGTTTACATACTATATTTATTTTAGTCAACGTTTCAATTTTTGTTGAGTGCAGACACACGTTTTTATATTGGATTTTAGTACCTCCTTTATTTAATATTAATATTTGTATTGAAAATTCAAGTTTTTTTTTCAATGGCTTCTCTATGTGACCTAATATCTTTACATCCCTTTCAGAAATGAATTTCTGTACACAGCAGACTCACCTCTTATTATTTGTTTTTAGTACTTACCCGCATTTTCTAAAGATAATGTGATATTTGTCATGTTCATTCTTTACCAAATGCTTTTAATGCTAAATAGTTTCTCAAAAATACTTATTTTTATCATATTTATATTTTTGACCTACTATTGCAACTTATTTTTGTTAGATTGTTTATGTCCGCACCACCAGACACCAAAGCAAATTCCTTGTAGGTTTGATACTGTAAGCCAACACCCTTCACCCTTCACCAGTTCCAATTAAAATATCACAGATTCAACAGCACCCCCACTCACACCTCCCCAGTGACCCCCGCCAGCACTAGGTTTTGAGTCAGCCCCTCACAGACAGACATGTTCATGTTTGGATGTAAATTGCCAGCAGAGGGCATCCTTGTCCTGATCAATCTCAAATGTCCATCCTGATCCTCCTGAAACACAGAGCTATTAATTATCACAGTGTCAGCACTCAACATGAACCCAGAAAGCTTTTTATTCAATATTGAATGAATGATTATTTGTCACAACATAACTTAACCCTTGTATGGTGTTCATATTTTTGTTACTCAGCCAGTGTTTGTGGGTCTGGTGGACCCGCTGCCTTTTTGGGCTTCAATTCAACACAATCTAACTATTTTATGTTAAAATGCTCAATAGATGTTCACTTCATCCCAATTACAAGCAATATAAACAGCATATATAGTTAATATTTTCCCTTTTACATTTGTTAGATCACATTCATGAATTAAAGTGCTACCTGTTTTTTTGCCCGCTGACCGGCTGGTCCTATGGCTCGTCTTTTTTGTGTATAGCTAGCTGATGCTCAATCTCATCCTCTTCTTCAAAGTCACTGTCAGACTCAGAATTCTCAGAAATGTGATCCTCACATTCTGAAACCTCTTCCTCTTCCTCTACTTCATCATCAAATGGTTCTCTCTCTTTCAAAATCATTTGCAAGGCCCTCTGAGCAGAGAATCTTTTGGCCATCTTGATCAGTTGTGATAAGGACCCAACTGAAGAAGCTTTATTTATTGTGTCTTGCCCCAAACTTGCAGCTTGGATAGAGTGGGAAAGAAATAAAGACTGGTTCCCGCAAAACATAATGCGGGAAGGTGAGAGCAGGCCGGTTTCGGTGCTTGCATTTATCAACAATGTTGCAACCTTGTGCGGCAATGGCAGGGTCAGAAACACTAAAGTCTCACACCCACACACACACACACACACACACTAACAAACACACACCAACGCAAACACACACACACACACACACACACACACACACACACACACACACACACACACACACACACACACACACACACACACACACACACACACACACACACACACACACACACACACACACACACACACACACACAGAAGGCCCAGACAGGTGCACAGGACCTACAATTTCAACACTTGTGTTAGCCCCGAACATCCTGTAATGTAAATGTGTAGGGGTGGTGTACGGTGGTCATTGAAAATGTGTTCTGATATATGTTCTTCACAGAAAATGAGTTTGGGTTTGAAAAAATAATTTATCATATAATTTTTCTTTAGCTAAATAATGAAAACGGGTCCCACAGACCCGAATACCATACAAGGGTTAAGTCATACTAGAAACAAGCTGAAGTGAATATTAACACATTTTGGTTTCAATATAAGATAAGATACATTTTATTGATCCCAATTGGGGAAATGTTCGCCACAGCGTCATGTAGGCAAGACACTGAACATAAATTTGAAGTAAATAAAAATAAAATATATATATATATATATATATAATAAAATTTAAATAAAAAACAATAGAATACAATTAAAATGAATAATGATATGCATATCAACAGTAGAAGGTCAATAAGAATACGCAAAAGAGTGAATATATAAATATCTATAGAGTATATATATGGATCAATACAAAATATAAATATACACATATACAGATTCAAGGGCAGTGTACATTGTGCTTGTCCAGGCAACATATAAACATTTAATAAAATGTGCACTTTACAATTGTAAATATAATTAAGATTGATCACTTCACGAATACCGTTTCTATCAGCAATATAAAGGTTTAATATCATCCATCCATCCACACATACACACACACACACACACACACACACACCACACACACACACACACACACACACACACACACACACACACACACGCACGCACACACACACACACACACACACACACACACACACACATATACACATACAAACACACACTAGCCAACAATAAAGTTGGCTGGCGACTCGGTTAGGTTCACAGCATTAACGTGTTTAAAACTAAGCATGTAGTGGAGTGTCAAAAGTGACACTCCACTCCTGACAAGGCGTTCTAATGTGAGTGGTGAATATTAAAGGTTGGACTGATGGATGGATGGAGTGTTGTGACCAAGCGTTTAATCTCGATAAAATATATATTAAAACTACAAGTCCCAACACAACCTGATAAGTGAGTTGCTGTAAATAGACATTATTAAAGGGAAATAACAAAACAAAGAAACACTTGATTGAAAAGGTTTATAGTGTCACAACAATTTGTGGAATGCTGATGTGCTGCCACTTGTTCCTGTTGTGTGCATGATTGATGAACACTTACTGGAAAGAGCAAGGAGTCCAGCCAAGAAGACTCAGTGCTGGCTGTCTCAGCAAATGAACAGCATATTTCAAAAAGCAAACAGTCATGAGAATAATATTGAGATAAAAAAGAACCATCAGAATCAGAATTCCTTAATTTGTCCCGCAACGAGGACATTTACAACAGCAAGAGTAAAGTGCAGTTTATTAGAAAGAGTAGACTTATGTATATATTACATATAAAAATAGACACACGTTATTAATAGTAAAAACACAATAAAATAAAAAATGACAGATGAGTACACCATGGTAAAAAGAAATGTTTACCATAAAAACAGTAGCTGGTACTGTTTAAAGATTGAAAATAAATTGGAAGAAAAAATTAAGTGTGAATGCACAAGGGTATGTTGCACATGAGTGTATATTGGACAAAGTTTTGTTTACGGGCAGTGTTATTGCACATCAGGGGTATTACAGTCTATGTGTGTGTGGTCAACCAACAGTTGGTTGGATGATTGCTTTATTCATTATACACTAACTTTAAGGGCCTCTGCACACACCTTCAGAAACAACAGAGACATTCTCCATTGTTCTACCCAACAATCGTGCCAACCACACTTTTTTGTTGTCACTTTGCTTCCCTGTGCCAGCACATGAGGGCGTGTCTGGAGGTGAAATTTGATGAAGCAATATTTTTTTCCAGTTCCTCTTTAAAACAGGTTTCCTGCACGTTAACATTCTTACACCTCCCTGGTGTTACGTCTTTTAAGAGACAAGCGTTCCTAAACATCCCAGAAAGACTTTGTCACTCAGGGAATCAAGATGTACCGTCTCCTCTCGGCCCTGATAGCTCTGAGCAGCCTCCAGGCCTGTGGGGGGGAATGTGACTTTGCTCATTCCATGTGTGGAGCACAGGCCTCTGGAGATGTTGTGATTGGTATATTGATGCCGTGTCATCATAAAGTGAAGGCTCCAGATAAAAGGATTAGACCTGAAAGCTACCACTGCTCAGAGTGAGTATAAAAACACATATGTTTGTTCAATTAGATATTCAGAAGGGATATCTTTCCTTTTAAATATACACTGAAAAAAACTGAAAAGTTGACTTTAATTAAATGTATTAGGTCAACAGATTTCAAATAACTGTATTTGGTTATTTGAAAGCAATAATATTAAGTTTAAATAAAAAATATTAATATATTGCTTCAAACTGCTACTCTTATACGTGAAATATGTTGTCATAAAACACTTAAACAAAGTCAACGTTTAGGTTTTTTCAGTGTGTGTTATTTATTTGTGCAAAAGATTTTTTAATTTCCACTGGATATAGACTGCTATTTTGCCATTTGGACCATTGTACGTAATAAGAGTAAAATAATTAAGAGTCGGGGAGTGGAAAAGACTCCCACATGAAAAATTAATTAAATCTTGATATAAAAAAAAAATTGAGGTCAAATTCACAAATCTACGGGTGAGTGAAACAATGTGGTTCATTGAGAAACATATAGAAATGTTTGGGGTTTTTTTCTCTTAAATGTATGACTTTAAACTAGAAGAGTTTGAGTTTTGAGATTATTCTTTAAAATGTATGACTTTATAATCTCAGAGAATGTTTAAAGTTTTAAAAAATGTATGAGATTTTCACAAAGATATAGCCTACCACCTAAATCTCATTGAATATTTATGATTGTGTCAGGGATGGGGAAAATCGGGACCCAAGTGCAGTTAAAAAGACAAAAAAATGTTTTATTAAAAAGCAGACGAGAACAGTGGGTGGAGTTTTCCATTATTTCTCAATCTTCTTCTCTCTCTTTCGCTCTCAGTTGTTTATCCTGCTCGCTGAAGAGAAAAGGATGACAGTCAGGAGGCGAGGCCGCCTTATAAAGGGTGGGCTTGCGCGCACACTCAGGTAGGCCCGCCCAGAGGGGCCGGGTACGTTTAAAGATATCTCAGTAGGTGAACGCTCGTAGAGTAAGGTCAAGGGGTAGTACCCATAGAGTCCAGTAGAGGGCGGAGCCTGTGAGATATAACTGTATTAGGTTAGTTGAAAGCAATAATATTAAGTTTAAATAAAACATATTAGGTTCAACTTAAAGGTGGGGTAGGTAAGTTTGAGAAACCGGCTCGAGATACACTTTTTGTTATATTCCATGGAATGCTCTTAACATCCCGATAGCAATGAATATCTGAAGTGCTTTGACAACAAATCCATCAAAAAATTTCATCTGTGGAAGCCGTGGCGCTGTAAAAAGCACGACCAACTTATCTCGTGCCCTCATTGGTCATGTGCGCGTACGTGTGTGTTGGAGGAGAGGCTCTGTAAGGAAGTGGCAGATTTGTTCCGGTTGTGTATTTTCAAATTCCAGCGCACTCGAGCTGGTTTCTCCAAAATGACCTACCCCACCTTTAATATGATTGCTTTCAACTAACCTAGTTTAAAGTTTAAATTGAATTAGAGTCAATGTTTACATTTGTTCAGTGTGTTGTAGACAAACAAAGTTCTAATTGACTTTTTATAAAAATATTTAAATATTTGGACTCTTTTTTGACTTAAACGGTTAGTTAGTCCACTAGAGTAACTTTTAGAGATGCATTTTGTTAAAAGTAGCTAAAGCTTTTTAATAAATGTAGTGGAGTAAAATAACATTATTTCCCTTTTAAGTGGAGTAGAAGTATATAGTAGCATTAAATGGAATTTCTGAGGTAAAGTACTAGTACTCAACATTTTACTATGATGCAGTACTTGAGTAACTTCTTGGTGGAGGTTCACCCCGACACCTCTTTTCAAAGCTTCCTTCATAAAGCTGAAATGCCTCTTGTCAAAATGTGAATACAGGTTTATATTTATAGAAAGATATGCCTGCTTTTTCTTGATCACTTAATGTTTTTCTACACTGTACATTTTCAGTTTTCATCTGCCGTCATTCATGAGGTCCTTGGCTGTGATCCATGAAATCGAGGAGATAAATGCGGCTGGCTTCCTCCCAGGAGTGCGTCTGGGATACATGATGTGCGACACGTGCTCCTTCGCCAGCACGGCGCTGCAGAATGTGGAGTACATGCTCGCTGTCAACAGGTCTCTGAATGTGGACTGTGACTACTCGGACTTCAGGCCCAGGGTGAAGATTATTTTAGGGGCTCTGTCCTCTGAGGTGTCCATCGCTGTGGCTCGACTGCTGAGTGTGTACATGATCCCTCTAGTAAGTCTCACATTCTGTCTGATTAGCAACATTTTATTGTTAAGTATTCAGTAAGTTATTTTCTGTTTTCATTCATTATCACTAATTCAGTTCTAAACAATCTTTTGACGGTGTCTAATGCACTTTGCTGCTACATTAACTGTTTTAATTCATTTCAAGAATTCATTGTGGGCATTTAATACACTGAAAAAACTGAACCGTCGACTATACAAAATATATATAATATAAAATATATAATATCAACTTAATATTATTGCTTTCAACTAACCTTATGCAGTTATGAGACATATGTTGACACAATACATTTAATTAAAGTCAATGTTTAAGTTTTGGAAATATATTTGACTTCCCAATTAGTCCGCCTTCGAAACATTTGCGGTAACTACCCATTTCTCACAGTGACAGTTACCATTATTGAGGGGGAATAAAGTGTTGCTGCAGTCCTGAATCTTTGTGTCTGTGATTAACTTTATGTTATTATTTCCAAAATTCACAATGTGTTCTATAAAAAATATTCTTTCATATTCAGTATGAACAGGATGCTGCAGAACAGATAGGCATTGCATATGGCCCAAACAAGTCAATACCAAAGATACAAGAGCAAAATCACAACAACCAATCACATTTACTCATATACGAGAAAAAGCAGTAAAACACAAATAAACCGAACAGGATTCAACAGGCTTCCTTGCCAAAAACACACACACACTAAAAGGCACAGCCAACCTTACTAAGTTACTCATACCAGCTGAAAATATCCAAATAATCAATAACTAATTACGATACGTACAAAATTCAACTTGAAAAGCTGCTCATCATTTCAAGGCAAAGGGTTGGGTCTAAAGCCCTTCATTTCAAATCCAAATGTGATAGAAATTTGAAATAAATATCAAAATTTGAACTTGGATTAATTCTGCGATATTTGCTGGCTATAGCTAGTTTAGCCTCTGTTAGTAAGGAAGACAATCATAATCATCGGACATGTTTTTTCAACAGCAGAATCGATTCATTTCTGAGGGCAGCTCTGCTGCACAGGGGGGAATCTGATTGGAAAACTGCTTCAATTTCTAAGAGCTGCACTGGATGCAGCACAACTGAGGAGGGCATTAGCAATGCCATTACGTTAATAGACTACAATTAAAACATATTCATTTCCTGATTCATTCAGCCAGCAGAGGAAGCTCAGATTTGATCATTTTGTATTTCAAGTAATGTGTCTAGTACCGATCCTAGCTTCGGTTTAGTTTACTGTACAGAAGCTGGGTCCATGCAGCACTTGGACCCAGCTTATTTGTATCTGTTACCAGAGGGAATTTGTTGCAGTTGGTAAGGCATGAGGTTAGCTGTTTTTACCACCAGTAATTTTGCTAAGAGGTTAAGGTTGAGCACATACTGGGAAAAGTGTTCCCTCAACCCACCAAAACTAAATTGGAATGATTTCCTCATCTATCTTCTACTAGACTTCAAACATATTTTACAATATCTATTACAGATTGTTTCAGTATATCAAATAAGATACGATATTATTTAACCAAAGGAAATTCCTGTTCCAGAGTTGCAAAAGATTCAATCGTGAACTATTGCCTACTTAAATATGTAGTTCTTTATTTTGTTGGTAAATTGAAACATAATTTTCTGGGTGCAAATGTGAGGATATAAAGGAACTTTTGGTAGCTTAAATTCAACAAATAATTCATTATTAATAAGGTTCTGTATTTAAAGAAATACATTTTTCATCACCAGCTGAGCAGCACATCCTCTGCACAGGACCTGAGTGATAAGCGGCGCTATCCAGGTTTTTTGCGCACTATTCCCAGTGACAAGCATCAGACCAAAGCGATTGGCCAAGTGATGCATGATTTCGGCTGGAACTGGGTCGGGGTTGTGTACGGGGACGATGAATATGGCAGAGCAGCTTTCCAGAGCTTCCTCAAGGATGCCGAGGAAAACAGCGTGTGCTTGAACTACAAGGAGGTGTTGCCCGATTCCCTCGATAATTCACAGAGATCGCCACGCATTAAGCAGGTCGCCGAGCGCATCCGCTCCTCCACGGCCCGGGTGGTGCTGCTGATCCTCAAGGCGGTGCATGTGGAGGCCCTCTTGAAGGAGATGATCAGGACCAACACATCGAGGACCTGGATCGCCAGTGATGCCTGGTCCAGAAGCCGGTCCATCGCTCAAATGGAAGGGATCAACAAGGTGGGGGACATATTGGGCTTCACATTTGTTACAGGCAAGAATGAATCCTTTGATAAATATCTCAAGAATCTAACAGTGACTCCAGGAGGATACAACCACTTCATTGAGGAATACAAGAACCTGAGATTTAACTGCACCCCAGAATGTTTCTCAGACAAAGCTCCGTCCTATTGTCCCAGTCCTGATGAATTGAAAATGAAAGCTGGCAATGCTTGCAATTTCAAGGATCCCCAAGAGCAAAATGATGACCATCTTGTAACGGCTCTGGACACAAGTCTCGCCTTCCTTCACAGACTTGCTGTGTGGGCCACCGCAAATGCTCTCAAAAAGCTACTGAAGTGCAACGGTTCTTCATGCCTGGGAGAAATCAACTTCCCACCATGGAAGGTGAGAATGTATATTATCTTCAGATGAGAACAGATTTAGATTTAAAAGTGTAGATCCTCCTAATTTGTATGGTAAAGGCATGCTACTGTGACTGATCTCTGAAAAAGGACAATTATAATTGACATTCATTCCACCCTTTACTTTGCAGCTTCTTGAAGAACTGAAGAAAGTTCAGTTTGAGTTTGAAAACAGCAGTTTCATTTTTGACAAAAATGGTGATTTTGAAGATTCTTATAATCTGATCATATGGGAAAAGGATGGAGACCACAGAAGATTCCTAAAGATTGGGAACTACCATGTCCTCAATAAACAAATAGAATTTGAAAAAAAAGATTTCATCTGGTTTTCAACAGCAAACACCACGGTGAGTCCACAGCCTTCTCACACCCACAGGTTTGATTGCTGCAATAGTCAAGTGAGTCACTCTCTGTGTCCTTACCCAAGACAGTAATTAGGAAAGAAAAGGTCAGGGGGTCTGAAGACTTGACCAGCCTTAAGCTTTAAACTGCAGTCCACTACTCATCATAGTGATCAGGCACATTGTAATGGAGTTGTGAAACTAGTTAAGTTTGAAATTCTATCTTAAGTTGATATATTCTTGCATAACTTTTCATGCCTGAAAGGGGGTATTTGGTTCATCTTTGACTCTTCTACCATAAGATTGTTGACACCTACTAATGACTAAAATATGACTGAGGCAACCTTTGTCCACAGAAAAGAGAAGAATGCTGACAGAGAATAAATTCAACTTCAGCATGAAACATAATCCAAAGCGGTGACCTTTTGATATGAAAGCTATATTTTATTTTGTTTGCAAGTAAGCGTATAATGATGAATGACAAAGTGAACTATAAATATATTGTACCTGTAAATGTAGACATAACCAGGTCTAAAGCATTTTCCATTGGGATCTAGCCAGGTTAAAAGAGAACCACCTTCCTGACACGGAAACTCTGGCGTTTAGCTCAAATGACCTCACCCACCCTCTAATCTTGCTTTGTAGTATCTGGACCAAGCTATGTTTGTTGGACTGTATTCCAGGCTTTGATAGAGGCCATTTGGAAACAGACATTTGGAGTTTTGCATTTAGATGTGATGGGGAGACACCTTGCATGGCCTAGTTTGTTTCATGTGCAATGGACCTCCAAAGACCCTGACACTTAAGGCAGACTTTAGACACTGTTTTATTTTTAAGTTTGTTCCTGTGGTTGGGCCTTGGCCATGAATATCCAATATGGGAATGGAGAGTGTCCTTTGTTAACACAACCAATGTTTTTCTTTTGCATATTTCAAAAACTTATTTTGAAAGAATGCTTTCACAAGTAGACCCTCTCTACAGTGTGATCAGTTAAAGTGACTCTTGTTCTCTTGTTTTCTGTCTCAGATCCCTCAGTCTAGATGCTCAGAGCGCTGCGCTCCCGGCTCATTTAAGAAGATCCTGAACGCATCCTGCTGTCACAATTGCACCCTATGTGTAGCGGGGACCTTTTCAGCTGAATGGGGTATGCCTGATTGAAACTGATACTGATTTATGTTCAATTAACTGACAAGTGTTGTTTTGGCTGTCTGAATCATGCTGCGTCTTTTCAAAGTCAATTACATAGGGCTGTTTCAGATAAGTGTACCTCCTGTAGAACTAAATAAACCATAATGGCCTTATTGTAACCATCTATATATCCTGTTCTTTTAATATTGTAAATCCTGCACAACCCTTTGTACATGTTGCACATTTCTGCTCCACACTACCTCTTTTTAAATCCGCAAAGCTCTCCACTTTGAAAATAGTATTTGTCCCATTGTATTATATTTAACTGTATTTTGTGTAAATATTGTCTTTGTTTTGCATTTTTACAATAGTCTTAAAATATATAGTAGTATATAGTAGTGTTTTGCTACGTATAATTATTTCTGTGTCTTTGTATGCACCATTTATACCAATGCAAATTCTAAGGAAACTGATTCTGATCCTGATTCTGATCTCTAACAGACCTGCGTACCTGCCAAAGGTGTCCCAATGGAACTTGGTCTCTCAAGGGTTGGACTCAATGCAAGCAAAGAAAGGAGTCCTTCTTGCGATGGAGCGACCCTCTTCCCATCATCCTGACGGCAGCCGCAGTGTTTGGCATCTTGCTCTTGTTGGTTACCTTCATTATCTTTCTGGTGAACAGAAATTCCCCGCCAATGAAGAGAGCTGAGGTGAGATTGTCCTGCGTGATGATGGCCGGTCTGTCAGTGAGCTTTGCGAGTGTGATATGGTTCATGGGGAAGCCCAACGTTCATCTGTGCCGGGCCCGCCAGGTGATGTACGCCCTGGGCTTCACCCTGTGCATGTCGTGCGTACTCGTCAAGGCCTTCCGCACCTTCCTGGCTTTCCTTCCCTTTGGCCAGCTGACAAGCAGGCGACTACATAAACTCTACAAGCCACTCGTGATCGTCATCGTGATAACCTCGCTACAGGGGGTCATCTGTCTGCTATGGCTGATCCTTGATTCTCCTGATATTGATGACACACCTCCAGACCCACAAAGCATGACACACTTAATCTCTTGTAGGGAGGGCCACACATACATAGGTTTTGGTATTATGTTGAGCTACATAGCTCTGCTAGCATTGATTGGCTTCCTCTTGGCCTTCAAAGGGAGGAAGGTTCCCCAGGAGTTCAGTGAGACAGGCAACATCATCTTCAGCATGTTGATGTACTTGTTTGTATGGGTGTGTTTCATCCCAGTATATATCATGAACAATGAAAGTAGCACCACTGTGCAGGCTTCAGCCATTCTAGTATCCAGCTATGGCATCATCTTTTGCCATTTTTCTCCGAAGTGCTACCAAGTGCTTTGGAAGTCAAACACGGAAACACTGGAGAGGATTCTGAACAAATGGCGAGCCATCTCTAGTCCAAAACATGATGTGGTGACAGAGATAAATATAGATTTCCCTAGAGTTACTTTATCCTCAGAAAAGAGTGACAGCTTTATCATATCAAGTACATCACCTACATCGTGTAGCTCAGGGACACTGTGCATATCTTCCTATACTACACTAGTTACAAAACGCAAAATGACGCGTAAGAGGAGTATATCCTGTTAAAACTGATTCCAGGAAGGTTTGCTATGTACTGCATTGATATTATAATATACCTGCTTCCCTTTTGAATGTGAATGTTTTGTAAATGTGTTTTGTTGTTAATCCATAAAAAACTTTATTATACAGACAACCATGGATGATTTGTTTGTATTGTATCCAACTCATGTGAAATTCAAAATGATTCTTAAAAACATGTTGAAGACTTTAAGACACTCTCTGAGGATGCTGCCCATCAGGACAACAACCTGTTATGTTGGGACTTTATCTCTGAACATTGCATATTATTCAAACCTTTGCATATTCCTTGGAAATGTTTTCATTTGAATAAATTAGCTATTTTCTATTTTCATATTTGTATTTCCATTTTTGGGATGGATTTCTTGATATTTGCATTATTTTATTTAGTTTTTTTATTTTATTCTCTCTTACTAAGTTTATGATATGCGCCAATACACAGCAATACACATGTATGTTGGCAAACAATGTACATTTGGGTTTACCTTCAAATAATGAAGATAATACATTTAATATGCTAGATTAGGAGGCTGCCTTTGTTTACTAGTGCAGATGGCCATGCATTATCACAATGCAGAGCCATCTGATTGGACAACACACAAAAAAACAGCCAATAACTGAAAACACATATCTATAGCGAATTACCATAACCTAGTCTTGTTATCAACAAATAATGATGTTAACATAAAAAAATATTTAAAATTAACCGAATAGAATTGAACTGTATTGTGTTAGTTGAAAGCAATAATATTACGTTTAAACCAACACAAGTTGATATGGGTTCAACTTATTATTATTGCTTTCAACTAACCTAATACAGTTATGTGGAACCTCTTGACATAATACATTTAAAGTCAATGTTGATTTTTTCAGTGTGCTCTGGATAAAAGATATATTAAAACTGTACGTCCCAACACAACCTGATCGTGTGACAGCAGTGAGTTGCAGTAAATAGACGGACATTATTTCAGAGAAAAAACAAAACAAAAGAAACATTTGATTGAAAAGGTATAGTGTTACATGCATTTGTGGAATGCTGTGCTGCCACTTTTCCCTGTTTGGTGCATGATTCACAGTTATTTACAACAAGCCACGGCTACTCCTGGGCTGCTTCTCAGGTCGACTATTTTCATTTCCTCGCTCCTCGGTCCTCGGTCTCACCGGAAGTTAATTTGCCTGCGCCATCTTGAGTACCGTCCCATGGCTCTTATTTCTGCCCGAGGACCGAGGATCGAGGAGCGAGGAGCGATAATGGAGGAACCACCTGACCATCCTCCGATGAAATCCTCAGATACTCGCCCCGCCCCCTTACTGTGTATCGCTCACAGATTGGACGATGCAGTGCATGCACTGATCTCATGCTTCTTGACATGAGAGCAGAGTGAAGAAAATACATGAACCTCATGGGAGTCACTCCTCAGTTTATACCGTGTTTTGTTTCAATTCATGTTTCATTTAGTTACAAATATGTAACATTTTAAGAATGGCGTTTATCTTTTTTGAGAATGAGTTCTTATTTATTTTATTTATTGGGATCTACAACAGATGATACAAATGTTTGTGTCAGTAAATGTGTACTAACAGAGGCGGGGGTGTGTGTGGAAATAACGGGGACAGAGCTGGCTACTGTCAGACGATCAGCTGTGCAGCGTCATCACAAACGGACGTCGCTTCACGTGACGCTCCGGAGGAAAGGACGTCCCATTGCTCTTAAAACTAATTTCCCTGCTTCTCGTGGTTTCCTTGCGTCCCTCCATGCTTCCCTGGTGGGAGGGACTAAACGCAGGGAAACGACGCAAGTGAGGGAAGCAAGGATTTCATTTAATCGACCTGAGAAGCAGCCCTGGACTTTCTGGAAAGAGCAGAGAGTCCAGCCAATCAGACTCAATGTGCTGGGCTGTCTCAGCAAATAAACAGCATATTATTTTAAAAAGCATACGATGAGAATAATATTGTTTCTATCACAATCAGAATTCCTTTATGTGTCCTACAACGGGGAATTAACCCTTATACTCAGGGTCGGCATCATGGGGGGGTCATTCGCGGGCCATGCCCCCCCAAATGAGTCACTGTTCCCCCCCAAGCCTTATTGCCACTTTGCCGGGTTTTTTTTTTTAATCACATAAGTTAAAACGTTTCCACCAAAAGTTTTTTGTGTGAAATACATCAGAAATAAGGAATACACATTTGTATTCTTTATTTATTCTTTATATGAAACACAGCCTGAGGTGTGCTCACTGCTGCTCTCTGATTGGTGTGTTGCTTGACCAATGACCCCGACTTTTGTTTTGTTATCATTACGTGGCTGTGTGTTTAGATGAAAGCCGGTGGTGATCTGTCCATCTGTTACACTGATTATACAGTAAAGCCATGGAAAATAATATGATATACAGTACAGTACAAGTACATGGGTCTCTGTGTTTCATTCAAGCTCGGCTCTCTGTGTGTGGCACGAGCGCATTTTGTCAGTGCGCGAGCGGTAACGTGGAATATTGTTGTTAGCATCTGGTTAGCTAGCTATGCTAACGGATATAAAGAGCTGTTTCTACACCAAGGTGGAGGAGAGTCCTCTCCTGTCAGACTGAGAGGATCGTATAACCTCAGCTCAGTGAGGTAAGGACTCTCTCAGTGTTTAGATAGTTCACTTTAGTGTAGGTTATCTCAGTGGGTCTCAAACGGTTTGGTCACCATTTATGTAAACAAGTATTTGCGAGGAACACATTTATATGATCATTATAGTTATTAAAGAATAAGAGAATAAATGAAAAACGGGTATGAAATACTATAGGACAGTAACACAAAAATACAGTTTAAAAGGGGAGTGATTAGTAAAATATCCATAAAGAAAAAGTAAATCTGTGTACAGTTCTGTTTCATATGGATGTTGAGAGATGTAGGCTATCCATAGATCTCTTCATTTTGCTCTCAAAGTGCACCAGATTGATGCTTTTAACTTCAATATTTTAAAAATAATCTTCCCGGGGGAGCATGCCCCCAGACCCTCCTAGAGGAGGTTAGGTCCACCCCCACCTAAAACATGTTCACATGGATAGGATACTAAATACATTTGCACACTTTTTATATGGTGGCCTATGTCCATATGTTTCTGTTTTGGTGGTCGTGCCACAACCGTGCATGTATCCACAAGTCATAGGTGCGCTATACAATAGCACTACACCCTGCAATGTGTGTGAAAGACAATAGACTTTACAGCATGTTTTTTTTAAATTGAAGTTGGTGTTTGTGTGTTGGTTGTTGACGGCAGTATGTGCCCCCCCTTGGTAAATGATTGCCCCCCCCATTTGATTTGTTCTAGAGCCGACCCTGCTTATACGACAGCAAGAGTATAGTGCAGATCAGAGCCCTAGAGAGATAAGAGTTACGACACTCCCATAGACCTCCGTTGTAAAACATGGCGGTGCCTACTTCCGGGGTATGGACATCGAAATAGTTCCAAATATTGTCATTTGGGCGTTGGACCTCATTCACTTACATTACGGCCCGTCGATTAGTTCCAGAGGTAAGTTGCTGAAATATCGAACTCTTTTGAATTGTCAACTGTCTATATTGTATCAGAGGCCCTTTATGATGCTTATAATGGTCTTCATTTGTATATGCACAGCGTAATTATCTATATGTTATCTTGGTTGTTACAACCAAATTTGCTAGCATTGACTGCTAGTTAGCTAGCGCGACTTCGTCAGTTTTGAAGGTAAGATTTCAGTAATTAATCGCTTGCAGCTTATATATCAATGATGCTGGGTAACTAACAAGCAGGATTTAGATTGATTATGTGTTTTTATTGTTATTTTGGTTTTTATCTGCTGAACCTGACCGTGTCAGCCATCCTTAGTCGGCTTTTTTTGTATGATGACTTAACTGCTAGCACTAGTAGAAATGAGGTGGCGTTTGTGATAAATATTTCATTTAATATTTCATTGAATTTTGGGATATACTAACATTTCATTATGTGACATGTTGACTGTACTTAGTTTTTTGTTGTACTGTTCCGTAGCGCTACTTTTTAATGCTTGATGGCATGCTAGGATAGATTCCTTTGTATTGTAATATACACACTAGTTTAATGATTGTTCTTCAAAGGTATTATTCAGTCTTAAAAAAATAATAGCCTACTGAACAGGCTACTCTACAGCAGTGAATGAAGGATGAGCCTAAAACATGGTCATGCATCCGAAATGTTTATTTTTAACAAAATAAACACTTTTTAAAAAAGCACTTTTTCAGCCTTATATGTTGCTGCTGCTGGCGGAGGGTGCTGCTGCTGAAGGAGGGTGCTGCTGCTGCTGGAGGAGGGTGCTGCTGCTGGAGGAGGGTGCTGCTGCTGCTGGAGGAGGGTGCTGCTGCTGGAGGAGGGTGGTGCTGGCAACGGCTGCAGGTGATGACTGCTGAAAGAAGAGGAGGCTGGAGGCTGCTGACGGTGGACCAGGAATGGAGATGCCAAGTACATCGATGGCAACGAGTAAGGTGTTTGGCAGTGGCCTAGATGTTATGACCTTCGGTGTTGAGGTCTGTTGGGTCTTCTTTGCCTTCTTACTCTGACTCTTGCTGCCAAGATACCCTTTATGTTTATCCTTCCTCTAAGCCCTGATGCACTTTGATGCAATCCTTAACCTCAGCCTGATGTATGTTGAGAGGATTTTTTTCTTCAGGTCATGGCATGAGGGAAGGTTGCTGTCCAGCAACATGGCTTCTTGTTCCAGCTGTGACACTGCATTTGAGGACTCCATGAGGGAATCGCTCATCCTCACACGGAAACGCTGCTCCACGTTCTGAACAAGGGTGAAAACCTCATCAGATGGACGGTAATCTGGCTCTAGTTTGGTCTGTGTTGAAGATTTTTTTAAACTTTAGATTAATCAAATTGTGGTTTTTTTTAATGCCGAATTAATCCTTTTCCGGTTTACCAGAGCCCTCTCTGCTCTCTTTCTTAGTAATCTCTCCCTTCTCAGTTGCCTCATTAGATCCTCCACGTGAGCCCGGTCACAACTGACCCTGGCAAACTGGCCTCTTCATAGCTGACCCCTGACTGACTGGCTCCTGGCACACTGATCTCTGGTAAGGTGGCCTCTTGATTGTCGGCCCCTGACATACTGGCCCCTGGCAGTCTGCTGACATCTGTCTCACTCTCTCTGTCTGTTATGTCCCTTTCATTCCCCTTTACATGTGCACCTATTGTCATTTAAGGGTACACTACACTCCTATAGTGACATTCATCTAAGTCCGTCTATTGGCAATGTTAAAGTATGAAGAAATCTGTAGATTATCTACATGTGGTATATGAGTCTTCAGAGAATCCCTGAACCCTGGTAGTTTTGAAGCTGTATAATCTGAAGGTTACATTAGGAGTGTAGTCTATCCTTGAATTATATAACATGGGAAACATTGTTAGCTTCATATATCATACCAATGTTTGATGTGCCATAAGAGGTGTGGTCATCATTCCTGACATTAACAGCTGGAGGCATACTCCTTGACTCCTTAGGCCAATGTATAAATACTGTTGGAACAGCGTCTGGCCTCAACCTCAAATTTCCTCCTGATTTGTTGCCAATATATTGGTCGTCTTCAAAATGTACCTGTAGGTAGGTAGGTTTGATCAGTTTCCACTGCACACTTCAAATGTCATTGAAGAGTCATAATTCTCTACACTTGGAAATATGATGCCCTTTAAAATGTTAACAAGTCATGTCACCTCTGTGAACATTACTTACATGACAGAGTTTTCTGCTGTTGTTGTCCTCTGTCAGACACAGGTTTTGTCTGACATCTCTTCCTTCGCTCTACGTCCTTAGGGAAGCCATACATCCGGAACCCCTTCTCGGATCGATTAGAGCATCCAAATGCTGCACATCCAACCATGGTATGACAACTGATCTATTAAAATGCAATAAACGAAAGTGCCATAATATTTGTTGTGCAAACATTTTAACATGAATATTGCTATGTCCTCTGTTCTGTTGTGCACCGACAGAAATGCTAGAGAGGTTCAGGTTCATGTTTTATGTTTGTGTTCTCACTCACCAATTATCTCTCATTCCAGGCTTCCTGATTGTTTTCACCTGGCATCCTTTCTGCGTCAGTCCGACCCTGATTGTTCCCACCTGTTTCTCATTGTCATGTGTATAAATTCCCCTGTCTCCCAGTGTTCCTCGTCAGTTCGTATTGTCTTATGCTATGGTCAGGTCAATGTTTCTTGTGCTCGTAAAAAGTTTCATTCCTCTCTACGTGAGCGCTTTCATTTTTTGTTCGCTATTTTTGTTATCTCGGCTAGAGATTGATAGTTACCGTTTTTGTTGTTCACTGCTGTATTGGAAAATAAAGTATCTTACAAATACTTTACCTCTGTCTCCCGGGTCGTGCAATTGGGTCCTACATCCTAAGTGTCTGAGTTCGTAACATGTTCAGTCTGCTCCCAACTGTATTCTCTCCCCTTATTCACCACTGTTCTTATTCTTGCTCTGCTTTTTAGGGCCCAGGAAACAGATGAAGAGGATGTCCCTTTCACAAAGGAACCTTTTTGTTTTTTTCAAAATGGTTAGGCTCCTGGATGCCCCAGAGTTCTGTATTGCTTTTTTGTAAATAGTTGTAATAATTGTTGTTCGCACAATTATGCTTCTGTTTTTCACTTTTTGGTGTCCATTGTTCAGCCACTGTATTGGTAAGCAACAATTTGTTTTGGCCAAAATGTGTTATTCACACTCCTGACTCCAGTTTGATGTGCTGCACTCTCCTCTGAGTGGTCCTGATTTCAGGCAGAGGTCATGGCTTGGAAGGTTTTATATCCTGTAGTGCCTCAACAGAACCTAATATGAATTGCTTTTTTCAGTTTCTCTTTTTTTTATTGTCTCGTCGCTGGATCACCTCCCCCTGGCAAAGTGGCCTCGTCATTGACAAACCTGTTTGTGTTGCTCTATTGAACCATGGTTCAACAGGAGCTTCTGTAAATAGTTTTGTAAATAGTTTGAATATTTATCATAGTAATCATTTTCAGTCTCCCACTCTCTCAATTTAATTTATCGTTTCTTTGCCCCACCATATGTTTTGTTGTCCAAGGGCACTCATTTGGTCTGTGTTGAAGATTGTTTTACACTTTAGATTAATCAAAATTGTGTTTTTTGGCTGAATTAATCTTTTTCTGTTGAACCCTAACCCTCTATGTTCTCCTTCTCATTCATTTTACTTTGTTTTGTTCTAACACACGTCACTTTTTCCATACACTGTTCTTAATACTTGTTCACACATGTGTTCGTCCCTTTTACTTTGTTCTTCCTGTTGTTCTTGTTCAAACACATATATCAATTGTTCATCCATTGTTGTGATAAAATGATATTCATAGTCTTAACATGATCATGCTACCCATGCTAACATGAACACAAGCGTTTCCCTCCAAAAATGTAAAACGTATCTAAGTAATAGGCTACCAAGCTTTCCGTTGTCACCCTGCCTCTCCAAATGCAAAACTGTCAATAAAAAGTATGCAATAATGCAATTACAGCTGAAAAAGTACTTGGGTGTGTGTGTTTTTTTTATATATATTTACCATTCAATAACACAATCGCTGCCGTCTGTCTGTCCCATAGAAGAACATGACAGCGCAGCGCAACTATACTACGGACGTGACATCAACATAGCCTGCTTGTGCTACCACACTTTCCCCTCAAAATATCGTTAAATAACGAAACTTGTAAATAGTGCCAATTCATACAAAGTGTAACCACATCATGTAAATATGAAAGAAATCTTTAAAAAATAACAGCGTTGGTTTAATCTATGACTATTTTGACCATGTTTGTGCTGTTTTTGCCATAGAGAAGCATTGCCACGGAAGTGCGTTTGGAATTATCCCGGCATACATAAACCACGCAACATGATCTCACCAGAATGCGTGACTCCACCACGACTCCTTAACACCACATTGCGTGGTGGAGTCACTAACTTTGTTACATTTACGTGTCGGCACCACGCAAACAACCCCAATGTAAAGTGAATGAGGCTCCTTTGTCCAACCTGATCTCACCAGAATGCATGACACACAATGCACTGTGTTTTGAGAACAACAATTGGTAACTAATGCACCATAATAGACCTACATTCTGACGAAAAATACAAATGATTATGAATACAAATAAAATAAAAGAAGCCTCTCGTGAGTTACTACAAGCTATAAAGTAGATTTTAAAAACGTTTTATAGAATACAAAGCTCACTGCAGGACGTTGTAGAAATGCGTGTGTGCACCACGACCAAGGTAATTCACTTTACATTGGGGTTGTTTGCGTGGTGCCGACACGTAAATGTAACAAAGTTAGTGACTCCACCACGCAATGTGGTGTTAAGGAGTCGTGGTGGAGTCACGCAATCTGGTGAGATCAGGTTGAAACCACGTGACCGGCTGGCGGCGACATCAAAGAGTGTCGTAACTCTTATCTCTAGGGCTCTGGTGCAGATTCATTCATAAGAGTAGACTTAGATATTATATAAAATAGTAGGTACACGTTATTAATAATAAAAACACAATAAGTGAAAAAACGAACAAATAACAAATAAGTATACCATGGTAAAAAAAAAGAAGTAGCAGTATATTTAAAAAAACGACCATATAGATAATATAGACGTAACTGGTAGGGGAGAGTGGGGTGAGATGAGCCAATGTGGTCCTCTGGGCAAAGACAACAACAACTGTTACTTCAAGATGTATTCTGTCAATCAAAATGAAAATAATACATGTATCACAAAGGGCCCTAAAAATATGACTTCTCAGAAAAATAAATGGTCTTGTGGCTTAACTTGGGGTAAGATTATCAAAGGTGTTAATTGAGCCATCTGGGGGTAAATTGACCAATTGACTTTTTCAAGTTTAAACCTAAGCAACAGTAAGATAATATCATCCTTTCTCTATTTGCCACTAATTATAGATTTAATTTAAATAAAAGTTTCAGTGTTTTCAGTGTGTGCATGATAACGGCACCCGCCTTCACCAGGCTGTGAGGATCAAGAGGATGTCATATGACATGCTCTACCTAATTTAAACTTGGATAACACATGTAAGCATGTGTTGTTGATGAAATTACCCAAACTAGATGTTGAATTATCTGTCAAATAAAGTTGAATTTAATTAAATGGGGCGAAGCCTGCGAGCTAGTTCAGGCAGTCAACTCGAGCACCAATGATACATTAAAACGTGACGCACCTCGTCTCTCTTACAACCAACCAAACACATTCTCCTAAACATGCCGGTCTATTTAAGCTGCCAGGTCTTCCTGCCTCTGCCTCGCTATGCTGCTGCTGCCACTGCTGTGTTCACTTGCTATTGCTGCGTTCATGTTCCTGCTGCTGTGTTTCATGTTGCTGCTGCTCGCCTGCTTTATTCACTTAGCTGCTGCTCTACGCAGTCCTCCATGTGTTCAGGTTACCTGCTGGTGCTGTTCTTTGCACATGTGTCTCGCTATCTCCGACTCGAAGATAATCATCATCCACAGGGGAAGAAGCCTGCCTTATATCCGAAACATAGGCTAGCTCAGAGCATGGCTCAGACGCCGCTGGAACGAGCAGCAGCTCCCACACCACCAGGGGCGCATCTAGAAAAATATTCATGGGGTGGCAAGAAGGTGGCAGGAGATTTTGAGGGATGGCATCCCCTGGCAGAAGTATATGCTGATTTAATCCCAGTCATATCAATCAATGTGAACCTGTTAAACCCGAGAGGTCCCTAATCCGGCTGCGGCGGGTAGTTATTTTTCACGAAACTGTGTCTCAGGGCTTCTTAATATTTAAAAACCTATCAATGTGTCATACCAGATTAACGGGAAGAAACTCAGCTAACTGACTATATGAACCATTTTTACCAAAACAAAACACAAGTCTCATAAGAAGCTTCTAAATGACCCCTGAGCGAAAAAATGCTAACGCACTTGGCACAGAAATCAAGGTAAAGATAACCTTATTACTTATCGTAACTGCACATACAATATATCTTAATAAAGCTGAGTTTCCACAGATTATATAGGTATTAATATCATCACTGAGCGATCAGAACTCGCGACAGGGGAAGCAAACACAGACATCACAAGCTGTAGCATTACGGAGCAAACACGGGAGATCGTCTCACCTTAGCTGTTATTCTGATCAAAGGTCGTGTTCAATGGCATTAAAACGATAAAAACGCTGCTGAGGGTTAATCCATAGGTTAATCCAATGTGTCTGTCAAATTATTGAAAATCCATAATTCCATTTGTATGTAAAATCGGAGAATAAATATTAGCTGCTAATTGTAGCCACCAGAGTGTATGCAGCTTCCGTTTTGGCTACGCGTCACTCTCACTCCTTATTTGGTAACGTGTGTGTATGTATGTGGAACTCCCTCTCGATTCTATTGGCTCTAGCGGTTAAAAAGAGATGTCAATCATCAAAATCGACCAAGGGGGGCTAGAGATAGGTCAAATCCACCCAAATGGCCCCAGAAGTGGTTTGCTAAATCTCTCTAAAAAGGTCACATTTCACTTGTTTTGCATCAATATTGATACAGAGTACTTATTAATGTTATAGTTTGGATTCCTAAAGCTTTTAGTCTACTATCCCATCATTCAAGGGTGTTTTCACTATAAGTATTTTTTTTTTGGACGGACACTATAATTGAATTTGGGTAACACTTTATATTAATGTACACACATTCACCATCAACTAGTTGTTAATTAACATGCATATTAGCAGTATATTGGCTCTTTATTAGTCATTATAAAACACTTATTAATGCCTTATTCTACATGACCATATTCTACAAGTAATAAGCCTTTAGTTGAGAGTTTTTCCTCAATAACCCTATAGTGCTTATTTGTTGCAAGTAAGGAAGTTGTTGTACATGAGTTTTGGTCTTAATATGCTCTGCTCAATATGGGCCTAATAAGGCACTAGTAACACAAGAAAAGTAATTCTCCTATAATAACACTTAACAAATATGATCTCTTCTTATGTAACAAGACATGAAACTATAAGTGTTAATTGTGTCTAAATAACTCAAAATTAGGTATTTATATAAGAATATGTTTTGGGGTAATGACAGCTCAGCTACCAATAGCAAGGTGATATTGACCTGTATGTTTCATATTTGCACATTTATATATTTGTAAAATGTGTACTGAAGGTTATAAAAAATATATTTACTAGAGAGAAAACAACATGCTTATCTAGGTTAACAGAAAGCTGCTATTAACCAGTTTTCAGCAGCTACTGTCCTATCTGTGTTCCAAAGAGAACATACGTTGCATTTACACATTAGATTAGAAAGTTCACAATTGATACCATTAAAGGGCCGTTTTGGATTAATAGGGCGTGTCTGTCATAAACATTCGTGCTCAGATGGAATAAAGTGTTGAGATGTTCTCAAGAGTGGGAGTTTTCACAACGCTTTTTAGTTTGTATTGAAACAATTAAGTGGTAAGGACAGAAAACTGTTCCGTGATGATTTCTTTAGGTTTTAGCTTTAGTAATGGAGATTACATTTTGTGAGGAAACTTTTCCACCAATAATAACTGTTCAAAATATATATTCATTAACTGTAATCAGATTACTTGTTTTTCAAATATAGCGCTAAATACAGTTAGTTTTGTGTTCTGTTACAAATCTAACCTGCTTGTAACACAAGTTAGATAAACAATTAAAAAAAAATAATGGAATAGGCAAGTGGTTAAGGAGGTTTTCCTGTTTTGCTCATTTGATTTAGAACTGAAGTAAGGAAGAATAGTGTTTTATGAGAACTGTCATTCCTCATGGTTTTTAAAGATAAATCATCAGTTTGTTTGGACTTTGATGTAGAAATAGGATCATGGTGGAGAAGGAAGACCTTTTTTGGTTTCAAATTAAAGAAGAGTTTAAAGATGAAGTTTATTTTATTTTTTTTCTGACTAGAATTAAACTAGACACTAGAAACTAGACAAGATATTTTACAATGTGGTTTTACTACTTTTAATGGAGTAAAGAATCTGGGTAGACTACTGCCATTGGTTTGTTTTAACATTCACATGTTTCAGCATTCCTGACCATATAGACACTCAGCCGTTTTATTTTGTA